ATAGCTGAAAAACAAAAGATACAAATTATAGCCCTACAGGAAACCAAATTAAATGAAAAGTACAATCTCAAATATAAAAACTACAATGTCCTCAGAAAAGACAGAAATAAAGAAGGGGGTGGCCTTGCATTTTTAATCAAGAATTTGTACTATGAAGACATAGCCATTAATATTCCAAACACATCAGACCTCGAAGCCCAAGGTATCAAAGTCTACCTCAATCAAAACAAAACCATCAACATATTCAATATGTATCACCCACCAAACAATAAACTTATTGACGATGGAACAATGGCTCAATTTCTTACAGACAACACTATTATTGTAGGTGACCTTAATGCCAAACATCAACTATGGGGATGTTCCACGCCAAACCCAAGAGGCAAAATACTTTCAAACTTATTTGACGACAATGCCTTCATGTGCTTAAATGATGGGAATCCTACCCACCATTCCTACAGTTATAATACCGCACAAGCCCTTGATATAAGTTTCTCCAGTCCTGACATTTTCCACAAATGCAAATGGCAAATATTAAAAAGTATTGGAAGTGATCATTTGCCTATTTTGATAGAAATTAGCACCAAGACCAAAACAAGCTCAATTAAAGAAAAATTCTGGAACTTCTAAAAGGCTAATTGGAATCTTTACCAGCAAAACACCAATGAAGACTTTAGAAAAGCACCCACTAGAATAAAAGATCTGGAACAAAATTGGATATCTTTCAAAAACACCATTATTAAAGCTGCCAAAGTTTCAATACCAAGAGGTAATATTAAGAAATGGATTCCAAATTATACACACCAGGCAAAAGATATTCAAACACTTATAACTAAAAGAAATGAACTACAAAAAAGTGCACCCAAAACCAAACAAATTGTAGAACTGAACTGAACATTGTGAATGCAAAAATAAAAAGATTATACGTAAATATGAAAAGAGAAAAATGGAAACAAACTTGTGAAAACCTGAACCCAAGAAACCCTAATACAAAACTTTGGCATTTGGCAAAACAAATTGACAGAGCCCAGCCACAAACTGAAAACACAAATATGATTAAGAATACAGATGGTACCCCAGCAACTAATGACAAAAATGCTGCTAATCTTTTAGGTATTTCATATCAAATAAGTAGTAAAATCAAATTTGAAATAAAAGATAAGAAAGTTGAAAAAAAGGCCCGAAAGATTATCCATGACTGTAAAAACGTCACTAGCACTCATAATATTTTCCATGAAAAAATCAATATGAAAGAGCTAGATTATGCATTAGAAAATACTGACCTAAACAAGACTCCTGGGCCAGATGGAATCCATGGCCAAATGATATCAAACTTGGGCAAAAATGGCAAAGAAAAACTTCTTGATATTTTCAATAACTCCTGGAAAACTGGAAAATTGCCTCAAGACTGGAAAACTGCAACAATAATTCCTATTAAAAAACTTGACAAATCTGCTGATGACCCAAAAAACTACCGACCTATCTCCCTCACAAGTATTTGCTGCAAATTAATGGAAAAAATTATACTCAGACGACTCACCTACCACCTCGACACAAGAAATCTCTTACCAAAAGAACAATATGGATTTAGGAAAGGACATGGGACAATAGACCAACTCTTATTTTTCACACAAAAGGTAAAAGATGCACAAAACAGAAAACCAACTAGCCACACCATAGCCGCTTTTTTAGACCTTACACAAGCTTTTGATAAAGTATGGAAAAACAAGTTAATTACAAAATTATACAAGCATTTCAAAATTGATGGAAAAGCTATCACTTGGATAAATGATTTCCTTAAAAATAGATACATCAGGGTCAAATATAATGGAACTCTATCTAAAACCTTCAAATTGTACCAAGGATTACCACAAGGATCAGTCCTTAGCCCAACTCTCTTCACCCTATTTATTGCAGGCATAGAAGAAAAAATTTCACATAAAACCAATATTGGACTATTCGCTGATGACATTATTCTATGGAGCAGCAATACTAACTGGAAAAAAGCTGAAAGAGATTTGAACATGACTCTTTTCCACCTAGAAAAATTTGCTAATAAACATAAATTAGAATTTAACCCCCAAAAATCTGAAACCTGTCTTTTTACTACCGATAAGAAACTATACAAAAGACCAAAAATTATTCTGAAAGAACAACAATTGCAATATAATAAACATCCTAAATATCTTGGCTACACCCTGGATCCAGAAATTAACTCCAGTAAACATATTGAAGAAGTTATTAGAAAAGGAAGAGACCGACTAAAAATCCTGAAATATATTTCAGGAAGAGAGTGGGGAGCCGATGCAACCACACTAAAATTAACTTACACATCTCTAATTAGACCTATCCTGGAATATGGATATCAAATCTATTGTACAGCATCTGAAACAAATCTAAAATCACTGGAAAGGATACAACTAAGTGCAGCTAGAATTATTACAGGTCTTCGAAATACCTGCCCCAATGATATTGTACTTTACGAGGCCGACATTATGCCCTTAAAGGATAGAAGAAGCTACAATCTGCCAAAATATATAAACAAAATCAAGAGTTATGGAAACAAACACAGAACTTCCAAGTACATACTTAATTGGGAATCCAATTTAAGACTCAAAAAAGAAGGCCCTCTACACCTGGCCAAAAGAAATGAATTTTTAAAGTATAAAGTGGAAAAAAATTATTTAGCAGAAAAAATTTCTCCATGCGAACCACTACAAAATGTTATTTTTAATGCCACTTTAAATGAGCCCACCAACAAACAATACCAAAATCCAGAATACTTAAAACAATTATCATTAGAAATAATTAATAACATTCCTAAAAATGCAATAACTATCTATACCGATGGTAGCAGAGACGAGCTAGGACACACTGGCAGTGGCTGTCTCATCAAAACCACAAATGGCATTGAGAAAATGAACAGAAGAAACCCAGATTTTTGCTCAGTCTTCAGATCAGAACTTATAGCCATCTATGAAGCCTTAAAATCCATCAGAAATACTAATTATCAAGATATCTGGATTCTTACTGATAGTAGAAGTGCCATAAAACACTTGAGTCACACAGGGGAACTCAGAGACAAAGTAAGCAGGAACATAATTGGTTATCTCCAAGAACTCTCAAAAACCTCAAAAATTCACCTTCAATGGATACCCTCACACGTTGGCATTGAAGGCAATGAAGCTGCTGATGTGCTAGCGAAAAAAGGCACAAAAGAACCCTTGCCACAGAAAAATAAACTTACTTTTAAAGAAATAGAAACAATAGCCAAAACAAAAATAAACAAGAACTGGAGGATCCCACCTAAGCACAGTTGGTACAGTGGAGTGAACCCAGGAGGAGCTCTGAAGATCAGAAATAGACAGCATCAAACAACACTAACAAGATTTAGAACGGGCCATCTCAAGCCATTGAAGATAGAAAATAATAACAAAATTTATCCCACTTGCCCAAAATGTAGTTTGGTACCTGCAGCTCCAGAACACATTTTGGCTTGCATTAGATGCACTAAACAGGACCTTTGGGAGAGGCCGCTGCTCATTATAAAACAGCTCGAGGAGCATGAACTCACGGAATTCGTGTAATCTTTACACAAGGGGATAAGAAACAACAACAAATAAAAGCTTTTTTTTTTTTTTCACTGATAAAGCACAATTTGGATTATAGATTATAATAAAAGAAAATAAAACCTAATCCAAATAATTTATTAGTGTGTGACGTTTCGGCAACAACATTGTCACCATCATCAGACAAAAGAACATTTTATTCTTTTGTCTGATGATGATGACAATGTTGCCGAAACGTCACAAACTAATAAATTATTTGGATTAGGTTTTATTTTCTTTTACTTTTTTTTTTCAATATAATTCCAGACCACATAACTAACTTTTAATTCATATATTTTATAAATGTAGAAATAATTTGGCTATGATAACTTTGTAAATTATAACCTAAAATCATGTGACTGAACAGCCAGCCAATCGGATCACTGTCATGTGACCTTCACACAATATGTGTGAATAAAATGAAAATCATAAATTTATATAAGGGTGTCCAACCCCACCAGCAAGTGCAGGTAACCAAATGGGGCTCTGGCACATTTTTAAGTGCAAAAGTCAAAGTGCTTTTCACATGTGGTGCACATACAGTAAAAGAAGTCGCTAACTACCCACCCAATAAGTGTGAATAAAATGAAAATCATAAATTTATATAAGGGTGTCCAACCCCACCAGCAAGTGCAGGTAACCAAATGGGGCTCTGGCACATTTTTAAGTGCAAAAGTCAAAGTGCTTTTCACATGTGGTGCACATACAGTAAAAGAAGTCGCTAACTACCCACCATGATTATCATGTCTTGTACCACGTGTACTAGGGATAATTAAAAAAAAAAGTGTGGGGGTTTGGTGGAAGGATGGTCTGAACTGTTGGTTTTCGGCTACTACGACCCGGGTTCGATTCCCACATTGGGAACTTTTTTCTGATTTAAAAAAAATATGCTCCGATGGCATCCGATTCTTGCAAAAGTCCAACCTCACCAGCGAGTGCAAGTAACCAAAACGAGGCTCTGGCACATTTGTAAGTGCAAAAGTCGAATTGCTTTTCACATATGTAGACATATGGTGCACTTACAGTAAAAGCAGTGGCTAACTAACCACGATCATTATCATGTCTTGTACCACGTGTACTAGGGATAATTAAAAAAAAAAGAAATTGGCCTATTTCTTCTTTGTATTATAGAGATATGATATTCCTTATTCTGTAATAGAAGTGTGAGAATACAGTTTTATTTGATTACATCTCAACCCAAGGTGTAATTATTCTTTAAATGTACTTGTCACATGGATGGGGGTGATGCTGTTGTTCTAGACCAGCAAACTGTGGCTGGTGAGCCACATGCGGCTCTTTGGATGTGAAGCTCTTTATATAGTTCCCTATCAAAATTCAAAACTTTTAAACGCGCAAGATTCTTTTTGATGTTTCGGACGAGAACAGGTGTTTTTTTTTTTTTTTCATTGAAAACACCGGTTCTCGTCCAATCACCGAAGTTAAGCAATGTCGGGCCTGGTCAGTACTTGGGAGGGTGACCACCTGGGAACACCGGGTGCTGTAGGCTATTACCTTTTTGAATTTAAATGATTTCTACTGCCCTTACTGCAATGGAAAAATTAAAGGGAGGGCCTGGCTCATCAGTAGTAAACCCTTCCAGCGGTTTTGCCAGTTTAATCTACCATACCGCTGTTATATTGAATTTTTGGAACTACCTTTTATAGTGATACTGTTGCTAGACTCTTGGAATGGGTATTTTAGAAGAACTATGGACATATGCTTTGAGGACAGTAGAATTTTTCCATTGCAGTAAGGGCAGTAGAAATTGTTTAATTTCAAAAAGAATCTTACGCGTTTAAAATAGTTTCGAATTTTGATAACAGATGCCGCGCTAGTGCATCATATTATAAATAGTTCCATATGTAAATATTATTTATGCGAGTACTATTTATTGTTGGAAATTTGTTGTGGCTCTTTAATAACTTTGAAATTTTGTAAATTGTAATTTTTGACCCTTCCGACTCAAAAGTTTGCCGACCCATGTTCTAGACCCCCCCATTTGGCTAATATTCCATTTAGAATGAAGCCACATCAATTTTGAAAAGTTATTGAATAAAATTGTTAGAATTTATTAGTTGCTTTTAAAATAGTGAGATGTGATAAAGAACTATCAAGAAACAAAGTAAATTACATATTGGACTATAATACAAGAAAATAAGACCTAATCCAAATAATTTATTAGTGTGTGACAATGCTGTTGCTGAAACGTCACACACTATTAAATTTTTTGGATTAGGTCTTATTTTCTTGTATTATAATCTATAATACAAATTGTGCTTTATCATTTTGGACTATAGGTTTAAAATATATGCAATGTTAAAACTATAGCAAAATTGGTTCTTTATAGAATATTCCATCATAGTTTTCACTGTGTATATGTTTTAATGGTTAATAACACTACATAATATATAGGTTTTATGCAATTTTGTTTCTTCATGGTTGTATTGTATATCTTTATTGTAACCTTATAAAATAGCTGATTTATAGTAAATTGTAACCACGGTACGCGGTTGAGACCCGACGCCCCAGAAAGATTAGCCTTTCTCTCTGCTGCCCTGCGCTGGTCATCCAGCCACCCCTCCCTGCACCAGAAGGTGGCTCTAGTGCTCTGGAAAGAGAAGAATTACAGCCAGGCGCGGTACCACTTCATCCACTCCACGGATGGCAACAACTGCGCCACCATGCTCATAGAGTACCACATCAACAGAGGCTACCCCAACGAATTAAATTGTAACCACAATAGTATATGAACCTGTTTCCAGTAGCCCTGTTGTATATATATAAATTTTTATAAATAATATATTGAATTCGAAATTTATAGTTATCCTATATTATCAATTAAATATTTCTATTTTGTAGTTTTTACCTCTACAGTCCAATATGTAAGCATTTTCACTCATCTTTAATATATACAGCAGAACTTCCTGTAAAGGACATCTAATGGCAGAGCTAAAGTGTCCTTTAGAGAGAGGTGTCCTTTTACCATAGAGCTGCCAAATAGTAAAAATGGTCATTTTGTAAATGAAAACTGTCCTTTGTAGAGAGGTGTATGGTGGTTTTACTGTATAACATATTGTAACGTGGACGACAAGGCCAAGATACCAGAGTAAAGTTGGGGAAAGAAGGGTGGACTTTAGCAGCTCCCGCTGCCATGTGGCAGGTGCTAAAAACAGCATTCCTGTGTGGGGGAGTCTGGTCACATCTGCGTCAAGGAGAAGACGTGGCGACTTGCCTCCGGGTGTGTGGATGATCCTACAAGGCGGTGTGGGCCAGGCTGCATGTGTATAGTGTGGAACGGAACGCTTCACAAGAGGACGTCCACAGCGCCAAGGATTCTTCAGACGGGAAGGTCGAAGGCAAGTTCCACTGTTGTATTCCTTCTCTTAAGTGAGATACAATAAAGCGCTAACTTTAGCTGCAATCCCTTCGAACTCACATGTGTATCTTTGTGGCATTCCGAGTAGACAAAGTACATGAATAGCGTCTGGGTACGACGTAACAATATAATACTAGCCAAGTGACCCATCCCACTTAGGTAGTACCCAAGTGGAAATTTACCCAATGAATAGTAACTAAATAAAAAAGCTAAGTTACATATTTTGATGTTATGCAAGAAATTATCTTATTTTACATAAGTGTTTAAAATTTGATTGAAATTGATGCATTCTAACGAAAGTTTTTAGTGAAGCCCACTTACAAAATTTCACATTTAGATACTAATAGAGAGTTTTCAAAATTTTAAAGTTTTTATTTATTTCCTTCAAAGCCACCAAACTATATATAATATGATCTATACAAGGAAAAAGCTGTTGAAATGCTAGTTCAAAGTCAACTTTTCTAAGCTTGTTTAGCTCCACCGTTGCCTTTTCAATTACTTCTGATGGTGATGAAAAGCGCCTCCCTTTTAACATCATTTTAAGTTTTGGAATGAAGAAGAAATCACATGGGGCGATATCAGGAGAGTAAGGAGGATGCAACAAGACAGATACAGAGTGTTTGGCTAAATAATCTTGAACAATAATGGCTCTATGAGCAGGGGCATTATCATGTAGCAATTTCCACTGTTTTGATTTAAAGAGTTGGTTTCTTTTTCTTCTTATCGCATCACGAAGGCGCACAAGTATTTCTTTGTATGCCTGTTTATTAATAGTAACCTCCATTTTTATAAATTCATAATAGACAAGTCCTTGATAATCAAAAAAACACTACAAGAATTACTTTTCCTTTGGACTTGTCAAGACGAACTTTCTTCTTCCTAGGAGAACTTGGTGTGTGCCATTCGAGTGATTGTTTTTTGGTTTGTGGATTAAAAAGAAAGCACCATGTTTCATCATTAGTTATTATTGTTTTTAAAAATCTGAATCATTATTTGCAGTTTTAATTAAATCTTTGAAAATTGATAATCTGGTTTCTCTTTGTTGATTTGTTAAATTTCGTGGGACAAAATAAACACAAAGTCTTTTCATGTTTAAATGTTCACCAATAATTTTTTGGCAACTATCATACGAAATGTCAAGTATTTCTGATATATTATCAATAGTAATTTTTATATCAGCTACAAATAAATAACGTACCTGTCTAATATTACGATCCGCTGTTGACGTCAATGGCCGACCTGACCTTGAATCATCTGCAATGCTCTTACGGCCATCTTTAAAACGTTTATACCAGAAATAAACTTGCGTTCGTGACAATTTTTCGACTTCATAATCTTCATTCATTAATGCTAATGTCTCTGTGAAAGACTTTTTCAATTTTACACAAAATTTAATATTTGCCCTTTGCTCAAATGATGACATTGCAGAAACCGACATAAGCTAAATACTTACAACAAAAATATGCCTAAAATGAAAACTACGCATGCGCATTTACTGGCATTGCTAAATTAAATTATATTTTAGGCTTTATTATTTATAGGAAAATTGATTTTACATTTTTCAAAAGTTGTTTTATATTTTATTTTTTAAAAGTTGGGGAACTTTTTGATCCTACCGTGTCTATTAAAATTTTGATTATTTTTTATCCTTTATTCCAATGCAGAGATAATAATTAATATAATGGTAAGTTAGAACTCTCTCAAAATTTACTTATCCTATTCAGATAGGCTTTAGATTCTAGCGTAGCAAATCCCCAAGAGGAAAGTTTAACTAGGTTAAGCTAAGAAAAGATAGGGATATTGATTATAATACTATTGATACTAGAGAATTATTAAGATAAAACTTTGACAAGGCTTACTGGCTATAGTTCTAGATCTGTTTTATTTCAGTACTGAGTGGCGTGCCTCTAGAATCAGGCTACCATCGCCATAGTCTGGTGGTGAGATGTTGCCTTGGCCACTTGAGCCATTCCTTGAGGATCAGTGGACTAACCGCTGGTTTGATCCTAACAAGATCAAATAGGCAATCTGCGTTGATGTTGGGCTACAGAAAATCTTCATATACAATTCAATTACTTCAATAAAAAAAATCCCTTGTATTAACTCTGCCTTTGCCGGTCCCAGATGAAAAAGGAGGAGGGGGAGCAGTAACAAGCTCACTAAAAAATCTGGGCTCAGCTGTCCTGGTTGATAGTACTCTGTAAGGGCTTCTAATCCAGGGATACAGGATGTCTGTACTCCATGTTAGGAGCGGCTGCACATGGCATCTGTTCATGTCAGAGGTGGCCATCTCTTTTGGAGCTAAGTCAGCCTTGCCACTGAGTAGTGCTCCCAGTCTTAATGACAAAAGCAGATGCATTCTACTTCACCCAGTACCCTAATATGATTGAGTGGAGATAAGAAAGAAGATTGCTTGTATCAATATTGAGTAAAATTAATCAGACCTCCAGGGAAAAGTGTCTTTTCAAAACATTTTTATTCTCTAACTTTCAGGCACGGATGCCCTTCTACAGGAGAAAACTTGGTATAACTCAGAAAAGTGATTTGAAAACAAACGAAAAAAAAATATCGCGGTAAGTTCAATTTTACGTTAAGACTAATAAAATAATAAATAAGCCTTATCGTATATTAAATAGACAAAAGATATGTATTTACAAATACCGCCACCTGAACCAGTTAATTTCAGAGGAAATATAGAAGAAAACTGGAGATATTTCAAATCGCATTGGCATAACTTTTCAATAGCAACAGGGTTGGACAATAAAGAAGACAAATTAAAAGTTGCAACCTTATTGTCTATTATAGGCAAAGAAGCTTATAATATATTTGAACATCTCGATCTTTCAGATGAACAAAGAAATAACTCAGATGAGATAATAAATGCATTGACTCAGCATTTTACACCAAAAATTAACATTATTTATGAAAGATCAATTTTCAACCAAACAAATCAAGAAACAAATGAAAGTATTGAACAATATATATGTAGATTAAGAAAATTGTCTTCCACATGCAATTATGGTGCAATGACTGAGGAAATGATCAGGGATAGGTTAGTTTTGGGAATAATCGACAACCAAACCAAAAGACAGCTGATCAGTGATCCTCAACTAACATTGCAAAAAGCTATT